AATGTTTCATTCTTTATTGTTGATTAAAGTATATTTTTATGTTTCATTATTTATTAGGATATCCCTTGTTTTATTGCTCCTCAGTTGGCTCTATTTTTAATGTGGAGGTTATTTAATTTCTAATATTTAGTCATAAATAAAGAAAAAAATTCCTTCAACGTATCCCAGATTATCCTAACATTTTTGGTTAAAACCTTTCTAATGATAAAATCGTATATAGAGATTTTTAAAACTATGATTTTGTTTCATTAATGTTAGAATATCTACGATCTTGTTCTTTATTTTACAAACTAATACAAATTAGGAAGTTAAAAATAGTTTACCAATTTCGCTCTTTCTTGATTAAGTATTAAACCTTTTTTTTACTTTCCTAATATAATACATTTTAATCATGACCGTTGATCAAGAAAATGAATGGATGAGATTGGTTTGTAGGGTTTGGACAAAAAGGGGTGGTTATCACTGAGTTAGATTCTACTAACTCTAAGGATTTATCAGAATCTGATCTTGCAGATTTTGATGAATCACCGACGCTTTTGACTAAATCTTTTAGGAGATTTGCCAGAAAAGGTAACTTCCATAGATCTCCTTTGCTGACCATCAAGGAAAAGCCAAAGTTTGATAATATAGACAAGGCTTCAGTGATCTGCTACAACTGTCACTGCAAGGGTCACTTTGCTAGTGAATGCAGGTCAAAGAAGGTTGTGACGCCATCTTCTAAAACCCATCCTTCTTCAAATCTAAGGATGACAAATACCTGAAGCTGAAGGAGAAGTACAAGAAAATGAAGAACTCCCAGCGAAAGGCCAAAGGTCTTATCGTTGAAGAGCACGACTAGGCTGATTCATCTGATGAATCATCATCTGATGAGGAAGATACGATCTATATCTACTTGATGGCCAAGGATGTCAAAGAAGAAGCTTTAGGGACATCAACTTCTCAAGATCCCTCATCATCCTCACCTGCTTAGGTATGTCTCCTAAATGAACCATCTTCCTCTTCTTCTAGCCTATCAGGGCTAGCAACACTGACGGTGGACCTTTGCAATACCCTGAATGGCAAGTTTAAAGTAGAAATGCTTAATCTTGATCTTCAAGAACATTTTGAAGATTTGTCATTCAAAGATCAAAGAGTTGACTAAGATCGATGTAGATCTTAAGGATCAGGTCATTGTGAACCAGACCATCACTGTCGAATGTGAGCAGGCTATAGCTGAGCGTGAGTAAGCAATTGCTGAACTCAGGGCTGAGAAGACTACCATTGAAGGATGGTGCAAAGCCTCTGTCAAAGCCTTAAAGATCATTAACGCTCAGATCCCTGCCAAAATAAAGACTAGTCTAGGATTTTCCTATGATCAGGAAGATAGTGTCACTGACAAGTCATCAAGTTTGGCACCTTTGTCTAATCTATTCCTGACACTTCTTCCTCTTAGTCTTATTTAACTGAGAGTCATCTTGATGGAACTCTTTCGAGTTCAGGTTGCAAAGACAAAGGTAAATCCATTGTCAAATCATCTTTTCCCAAGATGAAACTAAAGATCAGAGACTGGCGAATACGTGATCTAAAGCGGTATTCAGTGATTACAAACATGTCTACATATGTGTGAAGACTGCTCTAGCTTCAACGAATGATGATGAGACCTCCAGGTCATCCCAGCATTCAACGATCAAAAGAAGCTTTCTTAGCACGATTGTTGTTGTCTTGTCCTTTTGCACACAAAGGACAAATCCATACCCTTGCAAAAGTTAGTACGGTACGGAGACGATTAGTTGACTCTTTGTCCACCAAATTTAGGCAAGGATGTCTGCTCAAGAATAGTGCTTTTGTACTATTCACTGTAGCAAAGGACAAACCTTCATCTTAAGGCTTGCCACGCACTCTACACCTACCATATTGCATTAAATGTTTATTTAATGCACTGGGTATAAATAAAAGTGTTTCTTCTCTTTGTAGAGTGTGGGCATCTCTCTGCAATCCTTTTCTTACTTCAAGCCTCTTCTAGCTTAAGTAAAAGATCTTCTTTTTAGCAATCTCTTTTCTTGTAATTGCTAAAGATCTGTGTGTAACCAAAGATTGTTTAGATAGATTTTCTTTACCTTATCTTTACGCAAACAGTCTTGTAAAATTTGTATTGATCTTCTCTGTCAATAGATATTTTAAATTTGAAAATATTGTGTTTGTATTCATCCCCCCCTTCTACAAATTGTTTCTATTCTTTTAGACCCTTACGGGACCAACAAGTGGTATCAGAGCAGTGTTTTCTTTCTTTCCTTGTGTTTGGTTATTTCTCTGTATTAATTTATCTCTCCTTAGATAACTTACTGCTTTCAAATGGCTTTACATA